AAGAAACAGACTAGTAATTTCCAAGTTTTTTATTTTCCCATGAGAAATAGCTATAAGTCTCGTACATATATCTTTAAAAAATGATGGCAAGACCGTTGTTGTTAATTAAAATTATAAGAAAAAAGGTCGAGCGTGGTGGGGTGGGGGAGGGGGGGGGGCGGACAAAAGGCCTCATCTTGAATGTAGTACTACTTGTTTTTCGTTATATAGGTGACTATTGGAACATCTCTAGTTTTTTTTTTAATTTCCATGTTAGGGTTGGTTTCAAATAATTAACTTAGAACCCATCCTAAAATTTAAATTAAATAGATAATCCTCAATATTATTTTTAAATTTTTAAAAAATGTTTGTAAATTATGACCCATGTATATTTTTATTTTTTTAAAGAAAAAACACAAAAATGAGTGGTGAATAATGGATCAACTTATTCGCCTGTTGGGGTATAATCTATCGGAAATGAGCATTGTTTGCACTTATATATCTAAATAAGTGCATCAACTCCAATAGAACAAATAAGCATGTTTGTTTTATTTGCACCAAAGTTCTCTAAAAAAAACATGCTTAATTAGTCCATTAAACATAGAGAGGATCTGCCACAATATATTCTCTGGTAATACTAAAAAGTCATGGATTTAGTGGGGGAACGAGATTAATATGATGCCCTAGGGAAACCTTATTTTCTGATAGATTATTGTTCCCTAGAAGCGTTTCGTATGGAAGACATATTCTTAGCCCTCCAACACTCTTAAGTTTGGGGTACATGGAACTTTATTTTGAGCTAACATTATTCAATATCCTTCTTACAGTACAGTACAATACAATACAATACAATACAATTTCATATATACCTTCTTTGTTCAATTTGTGGTACTATCATCACCTTCTCTTTAAATTTTGTCCTTAGAGGCCATATATAGCAGATCTCGTAGAAATGACCTAAACCCCGGCCGTGTCCTACCTCTTCAAACACATAGAAATAAAACCAAAGGGTGCAGAGTGAAGGAACAATATATCACTCTTGATGAATCATGAACTCATTTAGTTTATTTTCCTTATAGATAGTTAAAAAAGTAGTACAACTCCTGACCTCTTACACCAACATCCATATAAATCTCATCGACTCCTTTGGACAGCAATTATCCTGATTTATCCTCCACTACTATACTTTAGCTCACCGTCAGGGAAATTCACGTTTCCAGTAGTGAGCTGTGCTGTGCTCAGTCATGGTGTCACGGACGCCTCTTTATTTCTAATTGACTAGCTAAGCAAGCTATATATTACTACAAGAGTAAAGTTATTAGCTCGATCGGAGGCAAGAAATATACATCACCTCAAAACCTCATCAGCACACGTACTCATCATCGCTTGTACAATCTCACTGCTCCCTAGATCATGATGACTGCATGCGCACATGCATACTGCAGATTGATCCGTTAGTTACGCAGCCGGAGCGACGTCGTAGTCGTCATCGTCATCGTCGCCGGCGCCACGGCAGCCCCTGAGGTTGCCCTCCATGGGCAATGCCCACACAAGGCGATCGCACTGATCGTCAGACCTGGCCATAGCCGCCATGCCTACTTCTCACCCTCGACCTAGCTAGCTCGAGCAAGCAAGAAGCAGCTAGAGTGGTCAGTGACCGAGTGAGCTAGTGTGGAGCTAGTAGCTTACTAGTGTGAAGCTCAGAAAGCTCTAGCTAGCTGCTTGCTTGGTTGGTTGTTGGAGCAGGGTTGGCGAGCAGGGTGGAGGTATTTATAGCCATTGTCGCCGAGGTCTCTCCTTGGCGTCCATGCGCCACGTCTCAGATCGGAGCGAGAGGTCCAGATGGAGCTAGCCTTGAGCTACCTCTTGGCAGAGAGCAGGGCTTCATGGCTAATAGCTCGGTTAATCGCCAGGAAGAATCACCGGCCGGCCGGCCAAGTGGAGAAAAGATCTCACAGTATCTGGGCAGATGGACGAAAGATGAAGACACCATGAGATTACTGGTGCTGCTTTGCACAAGGCATGCAGCAGACAGATCTCATCTCTCTGTAAAGCCAGAGGAGCACAGATACCCCCGGCCCTCCCTTCCTTTTCAGTTTTTTTTCCCCCAAAGACACATGCACAATTGTACAGGGATGTCCGGTGGGGCCCACCTCGACATCTGACGTGGCTTCACGGCGTTGGATTGTCTGTGCCAATATAGCTAGTTACAGTAGTATAGTACTCCTGTATTACCAAAAAATAGTTGCGTGAGTAGAATGTCAGGTCGCCTATTGGAAGCCTTGGGATCAACAGTTCAGGGGCATGCATGCATTGTTGGTACGGTGGCTCTTCGGTACGTGGACGTACTTAGTTGACTGTGACCTGCTCCATCTATTTCAAATTATAAGTCGCTTTGACTTTTTTGGTTCATCCATTTTGTTATGTATCTAGACATATTATTTATCTAGATATATAACAAAATGAATATACCAAAAAAGTCAAAGCGACCTATAATTTGGAACGGAGGGAGTAGTTAACAGCTGACAGATCTTGGAAAGTTTAATAATCACTTGGTCGTTGTCACCTATAGTCTTATTCTCTTGTGATTAAATCAAATGTTACAGTAAAACAATGTGCATGTGAGAGTGTTTGTACGTAAGTGTCTGTTTGTACAATGATCGCAAGAAAGTGACTATACGCATGGTTGCCGCCCACACATGTCTTCTAGTTCCATCGCCCCAAATTATAAGATGTTTTGGTATTTCTTTTTTTTAGAAACAATGACTATATGTTTTGGCATTTTAAATTCATGGCTTTTACTATGTATCTAGTCATAGCATACATCTAGGTCCCTATCAAAAGTTATGAATTTAGAAAAGCCAAAACGTTTTATAATTTGGAATGGAGGGTGTAGCTAATTCCATAAGTTATCTTATTTCCTTATCAAATCATTTATGAAAGGCTCAAACGGGATTGCTAAACTCAGACCATATTTGGATATGATAGGGCTAATTGTTAGTCAGCTAAGATTTAAAAGAATTAGCCCATCCAAATAAGGGGCTAATAGGTGGGTTAATTGTTTAGCCACATCTCTAACTAGTTGCCAACACCAACTAATAATTTGGGCTAAATTTTAGCTCTACCTAAAAATAGCCCTACCTGATCCAAATAAGTCCTTAGCCTAAGTGTTTCCTCACCCTCCTCACACAAGAACATTTTCATCCCTTTCTTCCCCCTTCCATATTCTCCACAATCCATCGTCATCCCGAGAAGATGTTAGGCGTCTTCTTTGTCTCCATCAAATCCAATGAGGACAAGAGGTTAGGGTTTGTCTTTGGGGGTTTGAGCTTACATGAGCTTTTCCTTTAATCCTTGGTCACAGATAGAAGGTCGGGGAGAAAGGCTGGCTCAACAATGGATTGATGGTGGCTGTGTAGAATGACAAGATGGTGACATCGGTGCTGCCTACCCAAAATCGACAAAGGGTAGCCATTTGGGGTGGTTAAGAATAAGGTGGTTCACCCCACTGAGCCAACACAGAGGCAAGAGTAGTGACGGATCGGGTGGGTGATATAGATCAAGCATTAGTAGCATCGCTCACAGAACGATTGATGGTGATCGTTGGGTTGGTCAGGGTGGTAATTCATGACCACTACGATTGACGGCATGGAGGCAAGAGTAGCAACGATTATAAGTGGCCGACTCAGGTGGAGGGTGGTACATACATTGGTACGATGGATGGAAGTTATATGTGGAGTAACACCGGGCGACATGAGCCAATTAAAGAGAAGATTATAGAGGAAGAAGAGCGCAAAATGAGAATTGGATTACAAAATGACACCAGGCGTGTCAGCGTCCTAACATAATGGCCGTTCGCTTCGCTGAAAAAACAAGCGAAACACTGTTCCGACTGATTTGTTGTGAGAGAAAACAATATTACGGCTGAAAAAACAAGCTGAAAAGGACGGATTATAAGATAAGCGAACATGGCCAATATGGCTGGATGGATGTCCATAGATGCATGGCCCAAATATGTGGGTACCTAATTGCTAATATGGATTTCACCAAAGCGCGTTAATTAATGAAACTCTAAATCGCTAATAATCATGTATTACTTAACCTTTTGGCAAACGCAAGAAAGAAAATTTGGCACTTGAACGGGGCCTGGGCACCAAGCACACGCATGGCGTTAGTGCGCACTGCGCCACTGCACAGGAGATCACGGCACCCCGGTACTGGTGGGCCGTCCGTGTTGGCGCGCGGTGCTCATGGCGAGCCTCCGCCGGCGCACGGCCGCCACGTGGTGGAGCAGCGCGGAGCACGTTCCGTCGTGAGCCCCGCATGCACGCCGCCGCGCCATGGTGGACAGGACCTGACCGGACCCCAGCAAGGATGTGCGTGCCGACCCAGCAAGCGCGCACATGGACCTTGGGCGGGCGCACTGGGCTTTGCGTAGCGGGGCCGAGAGCCCACGTAGAGTGAGCGTTCGGTCGGCCCGGTAAATGATGTGGTGTTTCTGTTTCCTCTTGGCTTCTTTCACCTCTGAATGAGCTCTGAGAGCAAGCCATTGCTATGTCTCGGAAATGCAGACTCACTGCGCTTTGTCGCAACCAAAAAACAAAAAGAAAATTGCAGAATCCTGATCAACTCGATCGACATTACAAATCAAAGAGGTCAACTCTGAGGAAAACAAGCAGTGGCAGTTTTTGAAAAGGGCGACACAGCTGACTAATACCCGTGGAAGCAAGACGTGCATGAAAGGAAGTACTAGTAAACATTAGTGCAACGTGCATTCAGTACACGGGAAGCTAAAATATCATATATATCATTACACAAGTAGGAGTATGTAGCAGCAGCGCGGTTATTCTCTGTACAGAACAACTGCGCGACCGAGTTCCGAAGCATCCTCTGGTTCAGTTGAGGAGAGATGAAAGCTGAGGTAATCATAGATTAGATTACTGATTGCACAGCAGGCAGCAGGCAGCAGGCAGCAGGGCAACGACTGACGAAGTTGGGGAGGGAATGGATCATGGATGGATCTAGTCGCTCTTCCTGAACTTGCTGACGCCCCCCTTGAGGATGCCCTTGGTGTCCAGCCTGCGGTACTGGCTCTGCACCACGCCCAGCATGTTGTACAGGAAGTCGTCCGCCTGGTCCTGGTACCTCTCGTACAGCACCGGCAGCGTGTGCGCGCACACGAACCCTGAAACCATACCAGCCACACCATCCATCAGCAGTGCACTAGTCCATGCAGCAGTTACTACCAAACAGCAAACAGAATAATCCTTCAGAACTGTAATGTAACCCTGAAAGCACAATCTGTCGCTGCCAGAATTCACAAGTTATTACCGACGTAGATGACCGTCAGCAAGTTGCAGAAGCTGCCGACGATCGCCGCCGCGAAGAACCCGGCGATCACCTTGTATTAATCACCAATGGTAAAATTAAAAACAATATACAGGAAAACAGGCTCGCGTCAGTCTGTCTGACCATACATAGCTACTACTGCATGTTGTAAAATGTTCAGTGAAGAGAAAGGCATGCATGCAGAGTCGGGTACAGAGTGTTGCACTCCACAGCATCACTTACGATGACGAACTGCTTGAGGTCCCGTCCGCAGGACACGTCCTGGAGGAAACCCAGCGCCCTGTTGATCTGTGCGCCGACGGCCGCGCCCACGTTCGCGAACAGCTCCTCCGGCAGCTGCACGCGGGGCACGCTGGAAGGGGACCTGGAATGGATAATGTCGTTGAGCAGCCCGGGCATTGTTTGTTGTCATATCTACCGCAGAAAGCACGATAATGGCACATCGAAAGAAAGAACGCAGCTAAGCTGCATGCGGTACCCGCTGTTGAGCATGGCGACGAAGGTGGAATAGGCGAACTGGACGGCCATGCCGAGCGCGAGAACGAAGCAGACGATGGTGAGGAAGTGGTAGTCCAGCCACTCGAAGAAGACCCACACCAGCGTCGCCACGCCCAGCACGCTGGACGAGATCTTCTTGTTCCGCCACAGCAGCACGTCGGCGGCTGCAGCCAGCCATCGTCAGTCATCATCATTGGTCACGAGGATTAATTTGCAGACAGACAGTCAGCCACTTGATGACATCACTACGCTGCTACTTGTGGGTGCAATACGTACATTTCCCGCCGCCCAGGACGTGGTGGACCGACTTCTTGTTCCTGTTCTCACCGCCGCCGAACAGCTTCTTGGCCTGCTCGGAGATGGAGGAGCCGTCGTCGAACCGGACCGACTTTTGCTTTGGGAGGTTCTTCGCGATGGTCTCCATGATGTTACCCATCAGGTCCGCCGCCGCGTTCTCCGATTGCTCCGGCATCTTCGATCCTGCCGCCCTGGAATCACGAAACACGTGTGCGTACAGGTTAGATGCAGAATCAGTCAGTCCATTCGCCCTATTAGTCTGATAAGCTATGGCTGAAAGTACCGTGGGCTGATTTTGTACGAAAGAAAATACTATGTATTGGCTGAAAAAGTACGATTTATAAGAAACGAACAGGGCGAATGTGACTCGGAGCCATATGCCTCTTTCTTCTACCTGTAAATTTTCTAAAACAGAGTAACAGACAGGTCTGCTGCACAAAGGCCGAAATGCTTACGAATACACCTTGAAGAATAGCTCCCAGGTGCTGCTGGGGCGATTAGTTGAATAGAGTACGAGATTAAACAGAGCACATGGCGTATTACTCTCGACTCTGAATTAATAGCCTGAATCCTGAACAGCTCAGGAACTCTAAACAATTCCTCAACAGCTCAGCCTTCCTTTTTGTCCACCTCCACGGCGAATTCTTTATGCAGGTCCTGCCGTCCAGGTTGCAGAAAAGCTAAAGCAACCAACTAGCCGGCCAAAACGAATTGGATAAGGCTTGTATAAATTGACCGGAGGAGAGGGATGAACTTACCGAGGAACAGCGGTTCGACGCGGCAGAGCTCGAATTGGGGTGCCCTGATCTTCTCTGGGACGATCACAGTAAGCGACGAACCAGGTATCGGGGATTCTTGCTCACCAATGGCGAGGCAGAGCAGCCGGTTGAGGGGGAGCCCGGGGGAGGAAAGGTAGTTGGGGGTAGAGCAATTAGTTCGTCGACAGGAACAGCCGGACAGGTGGGCTGTGTGTGGGCTCACGGCGTCCTCCTTGCAGCCATACGTTCCGCAAGCGTGGGCCATGCCTGTCAGTGATATTTTCCTCCACCGCCGACATACACACTGCAGCCATACGTTTAGCGGACCAAAGCCCAAACGAGCCCCCGTGATGCCCGTAACGCTTCATGGGCCGTGGCCTGCCGACGGCCCAACGTTGGTTGGGCTGGAAAACCTTTTTGTTTTTTTAGAAAATTGGTTCCATAGCATCGAAAGATTACGATATCCGGAAAGTACCATTGAAAGTATGCTTGTCCATAAAATGGCACCGAAAGAATAAACCGTTATCTAAAAATATCATTCCGTCACATTTTGAGATAACGTTGTGAACTTCTATTCTCCTCTACCCACCTGAGACCTCCATGGCTCCACCCACCGGTGAAAGAAAAAAGACGCAGCTACCATGTCCATGCTCCACGGCATATATAGTAGGTAGTAGCATGTCCGATTCTACATCTCCGTCCTCCTCACACCTGACACGTGAGACCTTCATGGCTCCACGTCTGCCATGTCCATGCTCCTCTGGCTCAACAACATCCCGCGACGTCAGTGACAACCCCAAGCCAGAGGGCGTCATTTATGACCTGGTGAGTAATGGTGACCTGCTTCTGCTGAACGGCGATGCCAAGGGCTGCTCGCCCTGGGGCTTTGGACAGCATCTTGCAGCAGGTTTTGTACTCGACGCCGTTCACCACGCATAGGTACCATATTGAACTAGCGGCTGCAGGCTATGTCCGTCACCACATTCACGGAAGAGGGGTAGAGCTATACGGTGACGAGTTGCCACACTTGCATCCTTGTAGGCGACAATGGTGGGCTATCCCATCGTGCCTGCACAAAGTGATGGAGAAGGATGACGCCGAGTAGAAGCTAGCGAGCGTGCCACCCATACCCATGGCTTGTCGCGTCCTCTCTACCGTGGGTTAGCACGCCTTCCCTCCGCAGCCGAGGAGCAGGAGCTACGCCCGGTGAGTCTTTGGCACAGCTCAACGTACGGATGGCCTCAGCACGACGAGCTCGATGTATGCGTGCGGCGAGATGAAGCAATGCGCCATAGCCAAGTCATCAATCGGCCGTCGCTTGAAATGAGCGACTGTGCAACGTACCAAGGGGATTGGTGAGAGGGTGGGGAGAGGATAACGAGTGGGACCGTCGTATCTAAGTGAAACGGAGCTAGCGTGAGGTAGACGTTGTTAACAAGTTAACAAATGCTAGATTCAAGAATAGATTATTGCTTTGAATTGTATTTTAGGTAACGGCGAAGTTTGGATGGTATTTTGCGGATGTCAACCATCTCCATTTTTTTTTTACTTGGTTGGGCTGAAAAACCAACGTTCCATGCTGTTCGTTCCCCGGGCTTGCTGAACGCTCGCTCACCGTCACCGGCCACCACTCGCTCCGCCCGCCGCCGCCGCCGCCGCACCTCCCGGGCGGGCACACCCTCTCCTCGGTCCGCACCCGCGGGAGCCTTTCTGCGCCCTCGGCGATCCCTGCGTCTGCGCCGCCTGGGGAAACCCGTCCGATATCCGCGGCGCTGAAGAAGCGACGGCGGCGGGGGCGATTCGTGCGGCCCGCCGCGCTCACGGCGGGGAGCGGCGTAATCGAGGCTCCTCGTGCTGCAGGTGCGTGTTTCTCTAGATCTGGGGCAGGCCTCATCGTTCGTGCGTGGTGCCGTGTAGCAGAAGATCCGATTTCGATTGTGATCCTTGCCTCAACATTTCGGTCGTCCTGCTACCGCTGTATATTCGTCTTCTGAACATTCTGCCTTACATTGTAGCCGATCCTGTATTCGTGTTCACTGAGCACTGGAATCATGTCTCTGAAGGCCTGAAGCTGCACAACCAGAAGCCATCTACGTTTCTATTGGATACAGAACACCTGCCTGGTTGGTTGATGCCTACACCTTTGCTTCTACTACACCAGTTCTGTTCTGCGTCTTTCTGGATTGGGCTCTAATTAGGCGGTTCTCTTGATTCCTTGGCGTTTCTAGGTAATGGCCAAAATCGAACCCCTAGAAGTGGTGGTGTACGAAGGCAATGCAGACCTACAGACAGCTGGTGGTGAGGATGAGTTTGTCGCCTTAGCAGGCAATGGATCCACAGATGCGGCGCAGGAAGATAACGCGGATCTGCAAGCAGTTGATGCAGAGGGTGAGTTTGTCAACGAGGAGATAAGATTCATGGAGCCAGTGAAGGGAATGCTATTTGATAGCGAGAACGACGCGATCACGTTCAGTCAGAGATATGCTCGGGTGAAGGGATTCGCTATAACTCGGAGGACATCCAAAACCGCGGACGAGAAGTTGCAGTATTTCACTCTCGCTTGCAACAGACAGGGGAAAGCTCAGTGCAGCTCCAGCTCCAGAAATAAATCGAAACAGAATCCCTCCACAAAAACACAGTGTCCAGCTAAACTGAATTTTAGACTTCATGGCCCTGACAAGTTCTGCTTAACTTCACTCATACTCGAGCACAACCATGATTTGAGTCCAAGCGAGACAGGAGTCATTGTGTGCCGGAACAAGACAACTGGGGTGAGTGCTAAAAGAAGAAGGCTAGAGTCAAGTGGCAGGTCAGAAGTTTGTGCGAACAATGCGCAAGGTGGAGGCTTTGAAAATCCACAGCTTGGTGAGAATGAGTGCACAGGCAATTCTAAAGAGGAAACATGGCTGAAGTTTAGTGCCGAAGATACACATGTGCTTTATCGATACTTCTTCCGCATGCAGTCCAAGAATCCAAACTTTTTCTATGCCATGGACTTTGACGAAAATTCCCGGCTGAGGAATGTTTTCTGGGCAGACGCAAGAAGTAGGGCTGCATATGAATCTTTTTCGGATGTTGTGAAGTTTGACACGGCCTACCTAACAAACAAGTATGAAGTGCCTCTTGCCTCTTTCGTTGGTGTAAATCATCATGGACAACCAATTCTTCTGGGCTGCGGCCTACTGTCAAATCAGAACACAGAATCTTTTGTATGGTTGTTCAAATCCTGGTTAGCTTGTATGTCTAACAAACCACCAAAAGGCATGATTACCAATCAGTGCGATGAAATGCAGGCTGCTGTTGAGCAAGTTTTTCCTCAAACTTACCATAGCTGGTGTCTGTTGAGTATCATGAAGAAAATCCCTGAAAAGCTCCGTGGACTTTCAAAGTTAGAAGACATTAAATTCACTTTCTCAAATGTGATCTATGAATCACTGACAAAAGGTGAATTTGGGAAAGGTTGGATTGAGATGATCAGCAAGTTTGGCCTTCAAGGCAATGACTGGCTTATTCAGCTGTGCATTAATTGGCAAAAATGGGCACCTGCTTATATAAAAGATACCTTTTGGGCTGGCATGGCTGTCACAAAAGAGTGTGAAAGTGAATATGCTTTGTTTGATGGATATGTCAGTTCCGTAACGACAATAAACCAGTTTCTGGAACAATACAGCAAAGCACTAAGAGATATGGCTGAGAAGGAAAAAGATGCTGATTTTAAGTCTTCTCAGGAAGTGGCATCTTGCATCACTCATTATGATATTGAGAAGCAGTTCCAGTTAGTATACACAAATAAAAAGTTTGAAGAATTTCAGGAGCAGTTAAAAGGTAAAATTTACTGTTATCCAAAACTTGTGAAACAAGAAGGTACATCTTACACATTCAATGTTTCTCAAGATGTTAAAATCAGGGAGCAACAACTTACATTGGACTTCTGTGTCTGGTTTAACGGAGATGGGTGTGATGTGAAATGCGCATGCCATCATTTTGAATTTCGAGGAATCTTGTGTTGCCATATCATCTCTGTACTTACTCTAAAGAAGATCAAAGAAGTGCCCTCCAAGTATGTTCTGCAGAGGTGGAGAAAGGATTTGGAGCGTAGGCACACCTCTGTTGCGTGCTCGTATGATGGCTCGTATGATGAGAATGTCAACGCACCAATTGCACAGCGTTTTGATGTGTTATGCAAATCGTTCTATGATGTCGCAGAGAAGGCTGCGACATCTGATGCACTGTTCGAGTCAGTGATGAATGGCCTTGCACAACTGAAAGGAAAGGTCAAGGCACAGGATGCTGCCCTTAACAGTCAGAGTGTTCATGCATCAGAGCGTCAAGACATGGAGATATGATGATGAGTTCCTTTCTCCTGACGTGACATGAATATCTGACAGTTTTCTGTTGTTCCAATGCACTCTAAAGATATATCTAGCGTCTTTTATATAACCATGATCAGATGGTAGGACGATGTCGAGTCTGTTTCTCCTGACATGCCATGGATATCGGACAGTTTTCTGTCGTTCCAATGTAGTGTAAAGATATATCTAGCGTCTTCTATGTCTAAGTTTTCTGTTGTTCCAATGAACCATGAGTGGAACTTGAATTCTATATTTAGCTGGCTATATATATGCCTGAATTTCTGTTGTTTAGAGCTATTCCCAGCTTCTCACGGCAAGCTGATCATTTTGCCGTGTTGCCATTAAACATGCATATCACTAAATTTAGCTTCATCGTTTTATTTTAGATTCTTATATATATCCTGGGCAATCTTCCATCTCTGTTTGCGGCCCTCCATTTTGCTGGGTTTGGAATCTCGATTCCACGGGAGAAAGTCACAATGAGGCCTCTCGGCCCCGTGGCGCTCCTGGCCATTTTTATGTCTTTCCACCTCCATCTTTGTGCATCCTCACGCCTCCTCGCCGAACGTCCCGCGGCGGCTCCAAATGGCCAACGCCTTCTCGCCGAACGTCCTGCGGCGGCTCCAAATGGCCAGGCAGCAGCAGGTGCACCGGCGCCGGTTCCTACCGCCGGGTCGCCGGAGAGCATCCGGGCCAACCTCCCGGTGAGCACGCCCGCCAACAAGACGGCCAATGTCCCAGCTTACGGTAACCTGCCACCGGAGGTGCTGGCGAAGCTCCCGGCCAACGTCCCGCCGGACTTGCTAGCCAGCATCCCGCCGGAGACGCTGGCCAACATCGAGGCGTCGCAGGGGCAGCTGCAGACGAGCGAGATCCTGGCCACCATCCCGGCGGTGCAGGGCCAGCTGCCGGCGAACCTGCCGCCCGAGGTGCTGGCCAAGCTCCCGGCGGTGCAGAACCATCTGCCGGCGAACATCACGCCCGAGATGCTGGCCAGCCTCGTCGCGGCGCAGCAGCAGACTGCCGGCCAGCCTGAGGCGGCGGCTCTCCCCACCGACATCCCGGAGATCCCCAAGATGCCCGACTTCTCCGGCCTAGCTAACATCTCGTTCCCGCCGATGCCGTCGGGGCCTAAGATGCCGCAGCTGCCGCCCAACTTCTCGCTGTTTGGGTACGAGGTCCCCATCCCCAAGTTCATCAGCAAGATGGTCGATGGCAATGGCGGCGGTGGCGGGCAAAACTGAGGCCAAGCTTGGTCCGATGTCAGTGCCTCAGTGGCACCTAGGCTGTCAATTACACATTAATAACAGAAGTTTCGCCTTGCTTTTGAGGTTTAATTAATGTGATCATTTTGCGAATCTTTTGGTTTGGGTGATGTCTGGCTGCAATCTGATGGACTATGTTCTTGTCATGTGTAACATCTCTGCAGGTTGAAAAGCATTGCAATTTTGCTAGTCCTTGCAATGCATTCTTGTCTCAGTTGAACATCATCTAAGTACGGAGTCATTAAGGTTTAATTTGGATTTGTAAAGTTCATAATCGATTATTGTTCAAACTTGGTCCTACTTCAACAAATAGATTCAGGTAGATACAAAAGAAAACATAACTCTGTCAACGTGACCTTGCATAGAGATCGAATGGTAGATGAAAGATATTATATATGGAGATGCTTACACGCGTGCGTCCGATCGGCCAGCCGCCGCCGTTGGCGGACCGCGACACCAGCTCAACGGCCCAATCATATCCTCTTGTCCACTCGTCCTATCTAGAAGCCTCTCATCCACTCGTCCTCTCCAGAAGACTGTCCACCGCAGCGCCGTGACAGCGCCACCTCGGCATTCTTCACGGCGTCCGAGCGTCGGCCAGCATCTCCACCGCGCCCAGCGTGGCTGCACGTCTTCCTCCCTCTCCATGGCGCCTCCTGCCCGCCGTGGCCGCCTGCCTCTCTCTCTCTCTCTCTCTCTCTCTCTCTCTCTCTCTCTCTCTCTCTCTCCACTATGTCTCTCGCCCACCGCGGCCTTCTCCAGCGTGCGGTCCGCCTTCTCCATAGAGGTATCCGCTGCGGCATTCTCCATCGGACCTGTCGTGGCCTTCTCCACCGGAGCGGCGAGCTCCGCACCACGGGGGAACTCTACACACCGACGAGCCTCCATTCCTAAGCATAAAGGAGATGTTGCGCTAAAAGCGCATGTTGTAAACATATATTTTAGGTGTTTCAGATGTTCCAGAGGTATGTTGCAAGTGTTTCGTATTGGTGTTGCAAAAGTAGATTGGGATGTTGCAAAAGTAGATTGAGATGTTGCACAAGTTGCAATGGCTAATACATGTATGTTTCAAGTGTATGTTTCAAATGTTTCATCTGTATCAGACGTATGTTGTAAGTATTTTCATTTAGACGTTGTATATACATGCGTGTAGCAAGCATATTTTTCAAGTGTTCCATACGTCTGTTGCAAGTGTTTCATCTGGACGTTGCATATGTTTGCAATGGTTTTCTAGTGTTTTTCAGGTGTTTTTGCAAGTGTTTCAGACGCATGTTTCAAATGTTTCATCTGTCTTCTTTTACATGCTGCAACTGTTGCATCTGAATGTTTCAAAAGCAGATCGAGGGTTGCATATGAGATACGCGTAGGAAGCGTCCGGCGGCGTGGACTCGCTGCTGGGGCGCTCACTCGCTCGGTGAGCGGGTACCGTCCGACACTAGCGGCCCGATGTTTGGGCGCTAGCAAGTACATATTATATACGCAACATATATCGATATTCCTCGTCCAAAGACAGAACAATCTAATTCAGGGGGATGAGGTTTGTTTGGTGTTTGGATACAGTAAAGCGTCGTGACAAGTTGCCCACGTTATACTGAGCCCGTGAACTGACCCGACTTCATCCTGTCCGAAAACTCGATCTTTCTGGAGCAAATCTATAGTAAAATTCTGACGCAACTCACCTCTTAAAGTATCCGGGAAGAACAAAGTGCTCCCTCCATCTCCTTAAATATGATGTAAATATTATAACGTACTGGATTTCTAAAAGTCAATCTTTCATCAACAAATGATTAAATTATATATACATGTGCGTATTTATTATTTATTGTCTAAAGTTATACCAATAGAATGCATTTCATCATATCTTTTAATTCTATTCGTCTAAACTGCTGTTTAGTCCATTTAAAATGGTAACACCCGTGTCGTTTAACCATAAACAGTGATTTAAATGGTTCGACCATTTAAACCCGTTAAAACCATCTAAATGATCTAAATAGAATTGAGTTATACGTGATTAAATGAGCTAAATGACCATTTAACTCAACATTTAGTCATTAGGAGGATTACAACTATCACATTTGGCACTCAACTAATTAACATCGTAAGTATAAGAGGTGGATTGGGATTTAGTTTTCTTCCAAAAAATCATTTGGTAGAATAATGTTTTTATATGTATATACTTTATAGCATATTTATATACATATGTATATTTTAGTGTTATTACAACAAACCGTTTAGACCGTTTAACTTCGTTTAAACACTGTCTAAACGGGCTAAACGCTAAACAAAGGGTGACCAATAACTATTTATCATTTAGCGTTTAGGGTAGCACTGATACAATATATTAGTTTTAAATTTGTAACGATTGATAGTATTTTAAGAGTAATTAATGATAAAAGTATACTTAAGACTTTCACATCTCTATGGCCTATGTAAACAGAACGAGAGTAATAGCCAAAAACTTATAAAAATATCCTTGTGTCCTGTAGAAGGCTTTATTACAACATCAACTTGCATGCACCAAACGTTTTAGTCCGTCTTATTTAGAAAAGAACATTGAGTAAATACCGTAAACAATATATGCATTTTGCGATGAAACATTTTATTTCGATCTCAATGGAGTGTCGGCAACTTAAATTTTTTGTCTCCTATATATGCGCATCCTGATTTCTCATCATGGAATTTTTAGTGAAGTTGCTATGTACTCCCTTTGCCAAATTACAAATCCTTTTGGCTTTTTTTAGATACATAGCTTTTACATAGCAACCTACATATCACTTCGACTTTGTCTTAAATTAAATTTCTCTAACTATGACTAATTTTTAAAAGTACATTAACTTCTTCAAGTTCAAATAAGTGCATTGGCAAGACATATTTCATTAAATTAATGATACCACAGATGTTAATATATTTTTCTATAGATTTATTCAAAACTAGAGAAATTTAACTTAAGATAAAGCTAAAGTGGTCTATAATTTAGAACATAGAGAGTACTTAGTTAGTTACAGTTGATGAATGAGGGTATATGACATTTAGTGGGGTTCGGAATCCAACAAGCTCCTTCCAACCAACAGGTTTAGGTCAGTCACAGTAGGGGGTTTATTTTACTGTTTCAAAAATTTTCATGTCAGTTTTATAGATCTAAATTGAGAAATAAAGCTGACTCTTTCAGTGCTGGATTTTATTTCACTGTTTCATAATCAAGCTCTAGCAATGACAACACTCTCTAGTATATATCTACCCTGAATAAAAGAACTGTTGTGGGGACACTAATCTACTTATGATCTTACTTAATAACCTAAGAGTAAGACTTCGGAGAAGATTTTAAAATACAATTAATAAGACTAATGAGTCTAAAGTTCTTCATAGACGTAGCCTCCTCCACTTTTGGAATGAGAGATAACATTGCGAAATTTAGTATGCACAGGTCTAAATTACCCTTGAAGTAATCCTCAAACATGGCTAACAAATCCTTCTTAATAAGATCGCAAAACTTAAGATACAACATAAAGGAAAGCCCATCTGGTCCTGGAGCACCTTTAGCATAGTAACTACAAACGACATCCTTTATTTCATGCTCGGAAAGAGGAGATATCAACAAATCATTTTCACTAACTAGCACTCTGTCATCTTGTTCCCAAAAATCATGAGATAAGGAAATCTTCAGTCCATCTTCCTTTTTAAACAGGTCTTTATAAAAAAAAAAGGCTAAAGCAATGTCATGGATGGAAC